GTCAGCATCGGCTGAATCGGCCCTACGTTATATGCAGAGCTTTATGCGGTCATTTCGTATTGCTCCTGAATGCTCGCAGGTTCAAATGGCGACCCTGATAATCACCTATCACCTTGTATACACAAAGAATGGCGAGCCGTTAAGCACCTGAGGTTTAACAAATATAGAGGGCTCTTTACATGACTCCATATGCGTTTTAGTCCTTAGCGAAGTGTGGGGAAAACATCCGTGGGGGGGGGGGGGGGGGGGGGCTTCGAGTCCAGAGGAGTGGCAATGCTTGCAGCCCCAGGCGGGCGGCATTGCATTCTATGCACGTGTGGGCAACCCATACTGGTACGTATCCTAATCTTTTCAGGTTGCGTCAGAACACACAAGAGAGAAAATTGAGAATGTGGGACTGTGCTGAATGAAGTGGCAGTGGCACTTGCTCGGCGCCACTATGGCGCTGCCATGCGACTGCCACTTCTTGCTCGCTGACCAAATGGCACTAGCGGGCAAACGTCCACAGACCTGTTGGTGAGTCTGTGAACATTCATCATGATTCAATTTCCTGGAAACCTCATTAGATCACGATTATATCTTACCCAACGGTAACAAATACATAGCATACCACTCAGAATCGCAAAATTTTTTAACAGCAAAAAGCTTCTAACCTTGCGCACTTTGCAAGATCTACGAAATATTGACCCCACTAAAATTCCGTTCTATAATTTGAATGCTTCCTATTGGGGTGAATATCGGCTATGGATGTGTTGCATTCATTATTATTTTCACAAAGAATTTACCAGATGCATAAATCCGTGTATGATTCGCTGCAGATTTATTTGCTTGGCCTATTTTACGCTGGCGTGATTTCCTTTCTCCAATTTATTGCCGTGATTAGCCTCTCATGATGGCTTCCGATTTACGTCAAGCTTATAAAAAGTGATGTGGAGGTTGGCCAGAGCTGGCTTGCCCGAGCCAGCATTTCAGCCGAGACTGCATGGTGAAAAAAAGCACTGGCAGGGTTAGCACACAAGCGGAGACAAATATTGAACCATAACTTCAGCTCTCATGTGCACTGGGCCTTGGCAGTGATTTCTTTCACCCAGTTTCTGTTCAAATGCTGGATTGAGCAAGCCAGCATTCTTACTGCTTCACCATGTTGATTTTGCGACATCCGACTTTGCAAAAAGCAATAGTTAGTTCAATACTTTGTATAACTAAGGACTGTGGTATAACTAATCATGCTGCCTTAGAGGAGCCAACAGCCGCACACAGGGTCGGCATAATCGTGAGACTGTCATGGTACAGAAGACCGAAACAACAAAAACGAATAACAAAATTAAACCACGCACAATCGCAGAAAACCACGAGCAGTCACAGAAAACCAAATGGAGATAGCAGCAAACAAAGCAGAGATGAGCAGACAAGCCGTACATTTGCATATAATGTCATCTGATATCACGCCTCTCACTTGCCTCAGAGAGGGCGGGGCTTCGGCGTTATTTTCAAAGCACTGTTACGACTGCTCCTTACATCAGATTGAAAAATAATTTAGATATTTGTGATCCTGAAGGGCACAAAGTGTTTTTCTTCTTGAATACAGAACCACTTAAGTCTCCCTTTAAACTTCAACAACCACACGGTGCATATGCCTCTACATCTCTCTGAACTAAAGATGCCTGATCTGTAACAGTACAATTGTTTTTTGCTTTTTTTTTGTTATATAGTTCAAAGCTCAGTAACTAAAAAACTGCCTGACACTCTCCTTATGTTGCGATTCACCAATGAACTAAATGCTCTATCAGAGCCGCTTGTCTTGTTCCTTCCTTCCCTTTCCTTTGAAGCTGATGGCTACGCGGGCATAAACAAATTAATGTTTGTTTGCTATGTTGTATGTATCCTTGGTACAGAAGGCTGACTCCAAGAAAACGTTGAAGCCCTAGGCCCACCTACCACATCAAACATTGGTGACTTCATATTTATATGCAGGTTGCATAGTTTGCCTATTAGCAACTCAAGATTCATTTTTCCCCCTTTGGGCTGGTGCAGAACATTGAGCACAATGTCTGGTAACTGAGCAAATATAGAGCTAAATACAAGAACAAAAGCCTTAACATTTGCAATAGTCAATAAATAAACTGTTGCATCTTTCATAAATGTTTTACAAACATTTTAAAATGTAGGATTATAATATACATAAAATCGAAGTATTTTACAGGCACATTTGCAAAAAATGTGATAGTGAATGTTATGTCAATTGTCAATAATCTCACTATCCCCAGTTTTATAAATGCATATAGTGATTGATGTTGCAAATGATGGCTTGTATAGCCATCGTTTGCAACATCCTCTTGTGAATTTATAGAACCCGGTTGATAGTGAAATGATCAACAATTTTCCCATGAAAACCTTTACTAAAAGTTAAGAGTATTCCTGCCACCTTACCTATGTAGAACCGCTCGTTGGAGTTTACAGACGACAGCAGCATCTCCGTGATCTGGCGAATGACGCCCAGGAGTACAGCATGCATGTACTCCACCGTGAACCCCCACACCAGGTCAAAGTCTGGAAGGCTCACGGCTGGAGACGGACCCTTGTAGCCGTTGATGACCAAGGAGGACTCCAGGGCCACCTTCATGTCCCGTAGGACACCTGCTGACGTCCTCCCACGTGCATCCTCAAAGGAGAGGAATCTGAGGCTCCCTGAAAATGAGGTTGAAATGACTATACAAAACTTGCAGTGGTAGAACGTTTACATCCAAAGGTCAGATAGATACGTACCATCAACGTTATCTCCCTTGATTAGGCACCATGGGCACCCGTAGTACCCGTTGAACAGTACCATATTCTGCACAGATGCGCGTGCGGGGGCATCCACGCAGCAGCACAAGATGTACGCTCTAGACGAGTGCTGTGTGCCTTCATGCTGCCAGGGGACGGGTTGCATGCTCTTGACACCCTCTACAAACTTTCCAAAAAACAAAGTCATGTTGGGGTGTCCCTTCCCAAACCAAAGTCCAGCAAGCACTGAAACCTGGAATCGTTGAGGCACTGGCAACTCGTTGACAGTGAACTGAATGGGCCAGACGGATGCACCGGAAGATGTAAATACGGGGCTTCCATCAGTGTTCACTGTCAACGTGAGGTCACTGTCCCCCAGGGTCCCCGATGACTGCAGATTCTTGTACGCTTTGGCTTGAGTGATGTCACCGATGACACTGGTGGTAGCACCCCGGTCACTGGCAATCTGGTTCAGCTTTTCGTGAAGGGCTGCTTTGTTGTTCTGAATGACATGATTCAGCTGCTTGCCGATGTCTAGAACAACGAAGAAAGCCCCATCTTTCTTTGCATCTTTGAGGTTGCTAGACGTCTCGCAGGTGGGACAGACGCCATCTTCAGCGGAAACCTCCAAGAGATCATTGCATGACCGGCAGTAGAAATGTCGTACAGCTGCGGACTCCGCCTCGGCTGCAAACAGCTTTCGGAACAGGTACTTGCTTTGTGGGAGCACAGACTGCTCTGGAGCAAAGAATGCATTGACCATCAAAAGAAGGTTGTCAAGGCCCTGCCAGCTTAAGGCTTCACCAGCCACAAACGCCATAATCATCGCAACAGCTGCTGCCTTGGTAGTTGTCGAATGGGGCAGAGTTTGGGTTCCAAAAGCTCGTAAGCCTGCTGCCAGTGCATGTTCTTCACTCATATGTGGTGGTTGCTCGGTCTGTTCCCAAAAGGTTGAAGAATCTGCATGTGACTGGTGAGTCATAGTCTCCTCTCCGTTACTCTCTGAAGAGTCAGCGTCTTCCGCAGTGATTCTCGACTGAGGGTCACTGCTGCAGGAATCACAGTCACTCTCGAGCTCGTCACCATCGCTGGGGACATCATAGACGGGAGAACCGGCTGTTGCTGATTGGTTCCCGCTTGGCACAGCCTTCTTACACCGAGACAGAGTGGACTTTGGTATCTTGAAAGACGCGCCCTTCTCTAAGTAAACAAATCGTCGACGCCGAGTTGCTTCACTACTAGCCATGATAACAAGTCACGGAGCAAACGCAGCCATCAAACCAGGCATGCGAACACGCGCACGAACAACAGGCAACAGGAAAGAAAAATGTAGAATTGCTGAGGAACAGAGGGGAGCGAGAAGCAGAATGACGCAAATGACGCGTCTGACGCACAAAATAAAATAAAAAAAAATAATAAAAAAGAACCAGTTCGAGTTTCGAACGATCAAAAGTAACGCAGACGACGAAAGCGAAAGTCACGCACAAATACTCCGCCTAAAAATGGTCCACGTAAATACGGAGCAATTAATAGAAGAGCCAATGGGAGAAACACAAACCCGACCACACTTCCAAGACGAAGAACAAGTACAAGTTGCCGAGCGTCGAAACTGAGAGCACTGTGCGGAACAACGAACAACCTCAAGGTAAACAATGCAAACCGAGAAACGGAACAAGCCGAGCCACTGAGCCGAGCGGACCAGTGACCACCGCGGTGGGACAAACTAGCAGACGCAGTCAGAGCCGAAGACCGAATCTATAATAAGCCAGGGCGATGGCCAGCGTCGAAGCTACGCTGTTTGGTTACATTTTAATCTAATTTTTAGCGCCCCCGAAGCACCGCGCAAATTCGCTTCCCTGCAATTGAGGAATTGTGCGTGCGTGCGTGCGTGTGTGTGTGTGTGTGAGCTTTTCGCGCCGAGAATTCGGGAGTTGCTCGCAGTCGTGAGGGGTTTACTTCCGACGACTTCGCGAGTTCAAGTTTTCGTTAAATCGACGGCTGTATGGTGTTTCAGAGGTCATAAAAATAATATTTAATAAGTTCTACTATTTTTAATAATTAATATGAGCCTTGATGATATTTAGGATTTTCTTCCAACGAATAAACACCAATAACATACCATCATGTTACAGCAGTTTCACTTCTGTTTTCAAGAGAGATATTCCAGGCTCATTACAATCCCGTCCAATCCAATCCAATCCACCTTTATTTTTCGGAGTTGCCCGAACGGCTTTCCTTTCTGGCTCTGCTCTTGCCTGTGCCTCCTAGTCCTAACAGGACCTCTGCTTTGATTTGGGTATCGTTGTTTTCACCTTTTTGTGTTACTGCGTTCTATCTTGTGCACTTCGTTTTGTGCGTTGTGCGTTTTTTTTTTCTGGTAGCCCAGCAAGCGTTGCTTTATTCTTTTGACTTTCTTTTCGTATGTTTCTTCTGTTTTCGCGATGTTCTACGCGTACGTACATTACCCCGCCGACAAAGAGAAGGCGATCATGCCTGTGTGCCTGATCAAGGATTATAATCCAAAAACGGAGACTGACATCCCTAGTGAACCGGTGCAAGCGTATTGGCGCTCCGAGGCCGGCCTTGAAGAAGGCTACTACGAGGCGAAAGTGGTCCTTCTTGCAAGTAAGTACCTGGCCTTTGCTGTTCCTCTGTGTTTGCCCTGCGCTGATCTGTTTCCTCAAAGGAAGTGTGTGCGGTTTGTGTAGCTCAGAACTCGATTGCAATACTGGGAAATCGTACTTCCTTAACATACGATTGTGATAAACGCAATATCCAGCGTTACTTCCGACGTAACTACTTTTAATGAGTAAAGTTATTCGGACTCCGTCCTGCACCTCGACCGGAAAAGGGTGTACGCACTACGCGAAACTCGTATAAAACGAATAGTTAAAAGTTTTCTAATAAGCGGTGGCAAAGCATAGTGGCAAGGTTTCTGCTTCATACGCAAGCAAGTGGGCGCGGGTTCGATCCGCGGTGTGGGCCCACTTTCTTTTTTTTCTCGAACATTTTGTTTTGTCGAGGCGTTTGGCAATATTTGCGGCATATCTTTTTTATGCTTACTTGAATACCAGTTGAACGTTTAGGAAAAGCGATGGAGAGAAAAAAAACAAAGAACCACACTACTGGACTATCAACCTTTTAATAAAACTTTCTTTTCCTCAACACTATCCTAAAAGGTGTCTTCTTCTTCATCTGTGAGATCTTAGACTGAAACTTCCTTTTTCTCGACACTAACCGTAGAGTTTACCTCTTCTTCAGCTGTCGGATCTTACAAAACTTTTTTTTTCTACACTTTCGGTAGTGTCAACTTCTTTTTCCTCTGTCGGATCTTGGCATTCAAATAGTCCCGACTTGGTTGCTCCGAGGGGCCACTCCCTGCAGATATATTTTTTCTTTAGGCAAGAGCGCAATGGAGGCGACACTTACGCATTCTTCCCCCCTTTCCTCAATGGCCAGTGACTCGAGTATCTCCCTTCCAAGCTGTTTCCGGTGTCGTGCGACAAGTGATGTTTGTGAAGTGAGGACCACATTTGCATTCCCGACAATGTGTCGAAAGGTGGCCTGCCGACGTTAGTGTGGCCACAGAGGCTGCATGTTCTCTGGTGCGGTTGTTTATGCACCTCCCTGTTTGCCCTATGTAGCTTTTGCCACATGACATAGGGGTATTGTATACGACTCCTTTTTCGCATGGGGCATAGGGTGTTCAATGCGCAGTGCCGCAGGTCGTCGTCACGTTCTGGTCGGTCTCCCGGTTCACCCTACGGCACGTGGCGTACGCCTTGTTGGGGGCTGAGCACACAACGTGGATGCCTTGTCGGTCAGCGATCTTTTTTAGACGATGAGTGATCCCGTGTATATATGGTACCACTACGAAAGGCTTTGGTGGTTTCTTTTTCGTTGGTTCATTTTTCTCCGGATTATGTCGCACTTGCTTACAAAGCTTCTCACATATCACATATCCCCATGTCATGTGGCAAAAGCTACATAGGGCAAACAGGGAGGTGCATAAACGACCGCACCAGAGAACATGCAGCCTCTGTGGCCACACTAACGTCGGCGGGCCACCTTTCGGCGCATTATCGGGAATGCAAATGTGCTCCTGACTTCACAAACATCACTGTCGTCGCACAACACCGGAAACAGCTTGGAAGGGAGATCCTCGAGTCGCTGGCCATTGAGGAGAGTTAGAGCCAGATTGTAGCACATTTTTATCCCGTGAATCCAAATATCACATTCGTTTTCCCTGAAGATGTAACTGAACACAAGAAAACTCGAAAAATTTCCCGCCAGATCTTTTGATTACCAAGTCTATGTCGCTCATGTGGGTAGCACGTGCAATTGCAAGCTTACCAGGTATATTCCCCCACACGTGACACCATTTGTGATGTCTTTTTGCTGACCTTTCTGAAAATATCAAGAGTGCGAGCATGACTATGATGGGTGCTCAATAAGGCACGAGAGAGCGGAGGTTCCAAGAACTCTGGGTGTGATGTCATGCTCAAAGAGGGCGGGACTTCGGTGCTATTTTCAAAATGCTGTGCGACTGCTTCCTACATCAGATTGAAAAATAATTTCGATATTCATGGTCCTAGAGGCCAAAGAAGATGATCCATGTGTTTTTTCAAAAATACAGAACCACTTCGGTTTCCCTTTAAACCGAATGTGAGTGCGTGTACACTGGTAGTGCACACTCTAAATTTTTTCACTGAAATTAAAAAAGATGCAACTGCCACAAGGATTGGTAGTCTGAGCACCTACAAATAATTGAAGCATTTGTTAAGAGGAAGGATATGTGTGACGTAAATGCAGCTTCCAGTGACTTACTAAAATAATTGTAATGTTTTGGGCAGAGATTATCAGCAGAGTACAGGGCATAACACAGCACAATCACATGACCGCTAACTTTTCTTATTTTTCTCTTATAATTGAAATGCTGTCATTGAATCCATGGATTTATATGTGGCTTGCACGTGACATCAATCTGCAGTGTTGGCGGTTGTTTTACTTCTTGCAAACTGTGCAGTTCAAGCTTGGTGGTGTAAAATTACTATAGCATTAAATTAACACTAGTGGCTGATATGCCATCAGTATGCCTGACCCTGTCATGTCAGACTGACCTATCTGTTCTGTGGCTCTGTTAACATGTTTTTATCTTTTATTCACCAGAATCGAAGAGGGCACTTCTCGAGGAGATGGCCCACAAGAAGCGACTGGTTATTCCCCAGATTTTTGAGGAACCAGTGCAAGTAAGTGGGTCTGTTGCAGACACAGACTTTTGTTTCGAGTTGGTTATTGTGTTTATGACATTTGATACCTTACTTCAGTCATTATTCGCGATTTGTAATGCTAAAAACCTGAAAAGAAGTCTTGGGGATGTCTAGAAGTATTTTGTCGAGCCAGCGAAAAAAATAAAGGAAAGCTAGTTTGTAGTAGATAGACCTATGAGGTGGAAAATAAATTGTTTAAGATCGAAGTTCCACAAAAGAGGGCAGTGGAAAATGGCAATTACAAAACGGTTCCACTTTGAGCGGACCCGGGCACTTCCACAATATTGTATTGTATTTTGTATATTTTAGGCATCAACATCAGGTTCTGCATCCAACAAGAACTTGAAACAACGCAAGGCTCTTGCCAAGAGGAAACAGATGGCGAGCATTCTAAGTAAGAAGAGGCCTTTAGCAGGAGACTCAACCGACGACGAGGACCCTGCAGTTGTGCCGAAGTCGGAGCTAGATAGGGCTGAAGAAGCTCTGCGATCTCTGCGGAAGAGGCTCCGCAAGGCGGAGGAAAAGGCTTGTGCCACATGTGCCGAAGGCGTTGTGTCGAAAGCCGAACATGACGCAGCTCTTGTAAAAATTGAGCAGCTTCAAAAGAAACTAAAGGAAGTGGAGGATTCCAACTTTCGACTCATGCGTGTCGTCCTCGACAAGATCGGTAAGCTACCCGTCATGTTTACTTGAATGTTTCGCAATTGTGCTTTAGGATTATGCACCCTTATGGCTAACAATGGACCTTTTCCACATACCGACGGCACCAGGCGGTGGCTGCACAAACTAAAAATCGAGGAAGTGACCTACCTGCGCTACCAATCGATATAGGGAGCTAGGCTACCAGTTTCTTCGCTCTCCGAGCAGCGGCGCGTGCCCTACGCGCCTTCAAAGAGGGGCATCTGTGGCATCCACCTAAACGTCGTGTTTTCCTTTCCGTCGACATTCTCTTTTCATGTAACACAATTATATATATTCTTCAGTTACGTGTTGTGCTCGCTGATATACGGCCTCCTTCCGAATTTCCTCGATTTTTCGTTCTGACTTCCGCCGCTTAGCATCGGGTGCTCGCGCGTGCGCAGAACGCTTCTCGGAAAAGGTCCATTGCAGTGGGCCTAATTTTTTGCTTGCCTGGTGACTATCGATGGACACATGGTCACTGTGCCTTCTCCAGAGATCACCAGAGAGGCCAGTCACCAGGCCACTCACCAGCTGCAGGGAAGAACGTCAGTGCCTGCTGCACCCATCCCTGTCCCCGTCCCTGTCTCTGTCCCCGTCGCTGCTCCTGTCCCTGTCCCCGTCGCTGCTCCTGTCCCTGTCCCCGTCGCTGCTCCTGTCCCTGTCCCCGTCGCTGCTCCTGTCCTTGTGCCCGTTGCTGTCCCTACTTCGGTGCCTGATCGTGTGATGACAGAGGCCGGATGTAAGGGCAGGATAGCTGAATTTCAGTTTCCATTAATTAATTCCCAAGTTTCTTCTTGCTGTTATATTGTGGATGTAGATATTGTTTCAGAAGTTAGCTTTTCTTTAGGAGTTACATGGAAAAAAAGGATCCAAGGTTTCAAATGTGCCTACAAAAATGAGATGTTCCTTATGTGCTACATATGTCAGTGTCATGTATTTAACATGGTTTGCAGACACTTTTTTTTTTTTTCACTTTTAAAAATTTAGTTTTTACAAATTCTTTAAATTTTGTGAAGAAATGAGGACAGAAATACTTTTTCATTTGCGCAAAGTACTGCAAGATACTAAAAAGAATGCATGTCTACTTTACTGCAGATCATGTGAATAGCGTCACTGCTGTTCGCAGGAAGGGCAGCGAATGACAAGGTGTTGACAGCGTTGAGCGTCTTGACACAGATGATTTTTTCAATTATATCTGTTATCAGTGTATTGTCAATCAATGGGCCATTTCTGTACATGGCAGTGACTGGCTGTTCATGTGCTCTGAGGTAAAGTAGACATGCTTTCTTGGTTCATATCAGACTCGCAATATTCATTACTTTACAGTATGTAACTTGCTGAAAGTATGAAGCCAAAGGGAAACTCCGATCAGAAGTTAAACGAAAACAAATGGCCGATATCACTTTAGTGGCACGAAATAAGACAGCAGCCTAAATGCAGTAAACTCACTTGAGCGAGCGTCAACTTAACAAATATTTCAGGATATTGAACCTTAACAAAATCACCGGCGCTTCTCCTATGCATTCTATGCAAAAATGTTTCAGTTTAACGAAAAACAAATTCTGAATAGCAAATATTTCAGTTCAACAAACTTGATCGATGGTCCCAGGATTATTTTTGCAATCAGTTCACTGAAGTTTTGTGCTCTGCAGTGCTGGCGTAGCCGATGCCCGCCTATTATCGCTGGCTTTCACAGTACTGCCGAAGCAAAGCGGCGGTGCGGTAGACGAAAACTAACCATGTGGTGCGTCTGTTTTTTCTTTTCGTCGGTTGCATTTGGCCATCTTTGTTGTGGGTAACAACAGTAGGACGGCAGTTTGTGCACCCACTTTCGTAACGAGCACAACGAGACGGAAGTGGTTGTCTTTATCACACAAGCTCAAAATTCCTCAGTGTCTGGACAATGATGAAAGGCAAGTGGACGTTGCGAAGGACTATGAGATTCCACCGTCAACGTTGTGAACGATAGTGAAGCAAAAGTCAAAGCTTGAAGGAGAAACTGCACCTCAATGGCAATAGCAAATGACTCTGCACGGGATATTTCCAGTCAGTGGATGATATTGTTGTGGTATGGCTTTGTCGCAGCAACAAGCTGTGCCAGAGAGAGAGAGAGAGAATAAACTTTATTTTTATTCTCGAGGAAGTGCAAAAAAACAGAGACTCTCTGGACAGCCTAGTTACTTCATGCGCATTAAGAGCGCCGGTGCAAATGAAAATTAGATTTTTTTTTAAATGAGAAAGGCAGCATCATAACTGTTATGCACTTTGTATATATCAATGTACATGACTTCATAAATTACATTTCACACTTTTGACTCAATATATGCTGTGCCCTATGCTGTTCTATGTTCTAGTGAAGATATTCAGTTAAGCACGACGTGCACAGGAAGCAGACGAACTTGCACGCCGTATAATCCTTCAAGTAGCCTCGATGCCAGCCGCCTTTAGTGAACTTTCAGATAAGTGAACTATTTCCTTGGGTCCCTTGAGTTCGCTCAAGTGAGAATTTACTGTATTGCATCAAGGTGACGCTGAATTCCCTACTAAAACCAATATTATGATGTGCCCAACGGGTGGCCACCGTCACTCTGGTGCAAACCCATCTTCTTCCTGCCTTTTCACTGTTGTGTAAAGTGATAATTATAGCCGCTTTCCACCTTTCCTTGTTGTTTCGTTTCGTTTGTAGAGGATCCACACACCTGGATTATCCCTTTTTACTGTGTGTCGACCAGGTTGAGATACTTTGCATTGTACAATGAGCTATATCCATACTTTGTGTGCCACTTGCTATGCTACGTTTTGAATTGGTTGTCATGCTCAATTACAATAAATAAGTTTGTGTTTTTTTGCAGAATATTTTTATGCCCCTTTTCAGGTATTCCCTTTGGGGTTTACACGCTTGATCGCTTTTTGATCAGTCAAATTTGACCTTGGAATTTTTGTTTTCAGGTGTGTCTACAATGCTGTACCGCACAACTGGGGCATCGGGCAGCACGCAAGAATGGACAGACTCCGAGGAGTGTTCCCATCTGCAACCTGCAGGGAACCTATCCCCGCTCCCTGTGGAGGCTACAGAGTCTGAGGAGGTTCCTCCTTCTGAACCACACAGTAAGTTTGCTGACAATGTAAATTAGCTGAACATGAAAAACTACAGTTCATTCATAAATAATGTGTGGGTCAACTTCGTATAAACACCAAAGAGGAATGTATTTCGTAGTACTAACATACATAGAGTGTAGCAACAACATCCATGTCACTATACAAGGCCAGTATGACCACTGCAATTGCACAATTATTATTTCTTTCTAATGGAGCTGAGGGATTCTCTGTCTCCAAGTTTTGTTTTGCTATTGGAAAGAGATGTAGGTCTGTTATGAGCCTATTAACAGGACTGAAGTATTTTAATGGCTCCCTTTCTTCTATCAAAAACAGTAACGAGACCTGACGAACCTAGGCATTGCCTAATTATCAGGGACAGACAGCTTGAGTATCTCTCGTTCGGTGCAGTTGTCGAGGTTTAGAAAAACAAAAAATAGTCAAACTTCCCTTGATCATTCGATAAACTCGGGAAGCATAGAATGTCTGGTGTGTGCGTTACGCCTGCATTATGTATGATTGGGTATGCTCAGTTACGAGGAGCTGTGAGATGTTTCAGATAGAAACTCGTGCAGGCATTCCATGCACAACACATTCATGTTCTCATATTATCAGAATGATCAAGACAAGTTTAAATTCGTTCAGAAGTCTAGTGTATGAGCAGTTGTGGGATCATGTGCCGAGCTGCAATTAATCATTCTCAGGGCAACTGTGCGTGCTATCAGTCACCTGCTATGTGTATGCATCTGTTCCGGAGTACTGACATCAAAGCAGTTTCTTAATGCTGGTTGACACACTTACGTTGAGTCTGATCGAGTGCGACTGCAACCGCTTGCGGCACTTAAGACAAGATGGCGGCGTCTGCGCAGTTCAGCCAATGGCAGTGTTACTATGGTGCCTGGAACGCGTTTTCGATTGGTGTGTTTACTGTCCTATATCCCCCCCCCCCCCCCATATTGCGTTCAAAATGGTCGGGAAGTGGCAATAAAATTTGCCACAAAAGCTAAAAGTGTCATGCTATCGGGTGTCGCAATCCTTGCGGTTGGTTGTCGACTCATTAGGGGCGCCGGCTAACAAGATGAGCGGACATAAATAGTTGCTGTTATCGGAATGTCCCGTCTCATGTTCACTTGAGTTTCCATCAACTGTTGAGCAGCAGAGTCAGACAAGGTAGAACAGTCGTCTGCCAACTGTACCTTTGCTGTTGGACCGCCGCCAAGATCACGACCAGCAACAGCATGACATTTTTGTAACATCACAAGGTGTAAATCGAGGGACCAAAATGAGGACGCCTTAACACACCTGTCGAAGACGCGTTCCAAGCACTGTAGTGTTACCAACACATTTACTGTTTAATGCAGTGAATGGCATCTGCGGTTATGTCTGAATGCATTTTGATACAGTAAGTGCGTTCCCAACACTGCCGTTGGTGCCATCTCACAGACGCCGCCATCTTGTTTTAGGCGTTGCAAGTGGTTGCAGTCGCACTCGGTTGGATGCAACACAAGTTTGTGAATTTGACTTTTTGCAATGCTTTTTTCTCTTTGCTCTGGAGCACGTGAGTGTCTCAGGTTTGAGCTCATATTTTGCCTGCACTACAGCAGCATTTGTGTTGTGCTATCCCTTTGTGTTCTCTCCACGAGTATGTGCTGTTGATCAGGTACTACAAAGAATAATGCAAGGAGAACATAGAGGCGCCCTAGTCATCCTTAGCCCAGCTGGTTCCGCTCCCCCTCGGAGCCCTAAAGTAACGCATCGGCGTTTGGGTCACTAGGTCTGCTCTTCGATTCTCATCGCCACCCAGGGCCGGTTTGCTCATCTCGCAGCTGCTGCTCCAATTGCGGCCAACTTAGCCGCAGGTATTTTATTTCACGAGACCAGCTCCATGGAGGCATGGAAGTACCTAGCGTCCCTGCCTAATGGCACAGACGTTTGTGTCGCTTCAAGCACAAAAGTTAGATTTTGCTCCCAGAAACTGACTGCAGAGGCTTGCAATTCAAGTTAAATTAACTGCACTCTTACATTTTTGGAGTGGCAGGTAAAGTTACAGTCGGGGTAGACTGTCCTTCATTTCTGTATATAACTCCTTAATTTCATAAAGCCAGCTAGGTTTCTAAAGTTGCTGATGTTGAGAATTTTCAATTTGCACTTCTAGGTGATGCCGGGGCTGCTGGCTGTGGGGAGTCTGGGGATGTTCCTTATCCTCCGCTTCTTGCTGTCCTGGATGGTCAAGTATGCATGAGAGCCTACAAAAGATTTTGTTAAATGTTTTCATTGAAAGGACAGTTTTTGGAACAAAAGTGTTATTGATTATATTAACAAAGCTAATACCTAGGCAAGCTTTTTACGTATGCATCTTAGTATCCTAAGAGATGCCCCACCACCTAAAGGTAGTCCAATGGTCACCTCCGCAGAAACGGGGCAAGCCACAAGGGGAGGTGAGCAAGCCATGAGGGCTGGAAACGACAGTTATCCTTCATTCAGTTAACCCTTGCAGCCATAACAGGCTTGACGGCCCACTGCGTCTAAAATAGCATAATGTAATTCACTAGTAGGTAGTTCATCTTGCCAACTCAACTGCAAATCCGCAGGCTTTAAAGTTTGTTAAAAGTGTATGTGTTCTTGGCTTTGTTGCAACAAGATTTTTATATTTTTTTATCAAGCTCTAAAAGTTAGCTTTCCCATTATTTTCACTTAGTTTGCTCTTAAATTGAGGTGGCTATCTTTTAGTATAGTATGGTATGTCTACGTTGTCTAATGAACCAATCAGAATGGGTATTTGCTGTAGATGTGGAAGTGCATTTATTATTTTTTCAGGTGGCAAACAGTTCAATATGTGGTGTGGAAAAGCTTAATTAAATAAGTTTGCATTTTTTAGTGCCAGCACTAGGTAAGTTGGATCGAGGGCTTTTGAGAGCACGGTGCACCACTTATATAGGCATAACGGAGGGTGCTTGCAGCCAGCTCCATGTAACAAAATATTGTGTCTTCTACTCGGTCACACCACAGACAAATGCCAAGAGCTCTACTACCTGAAAATCTGTGCTTGTTAGGGTTGAGAACTCGTGACTAACCAGTCCACAAATTAATAACCATGCGTCCTGCTAAATCTGGTACTTTGGGGCTAATCAAATTCATTACCAGTGCTAACATTACTGGTGATACAGTGGCAAACTGTTGCCTGGTTAAAAGAATAAAGCCAAAAGAATAGAGGATAAATCTTATAAAAAATGCAAGTAGTGAGAGGGATGCTGTACCCCCCCGGATAGAAAAGTTGTGTCAAAAATCTATTTTGCATGGAGAAAAATGAAAACAAAATTCAGGGTGTGAGTAATTTTGCAGCAATCTGTGTTTTCCTTCATGTATCCTCTTTCATTTTACTGTAACCATATCAACATGGTGCAAACAAGTGCGACAGAGAGGAGTGGAGAGGTAGACTGCTAATGTAAATTCCATTGTGCAGCATAAATAGTGAGCTAAATCGTTTCTTCAAGGAAAATGCATGTTTGCAACATGCGTGTGGTATACGCACTGTTACAAAAGTTCTTTTTTTTTTTGGTTGCAGTTGTTTTTTGACATACGATGCATTTACAAGTTTTGCATAGCTGATGGTATCTGGACATACAGTAGTATCTCGTTAATTCGAAGTCTGTTGGACTGAGAAAGATATTCCAATTAAGCAAGATTTAAAATTATACGAAAAAATAAAAAAAAATAAAAGAACCAAAATCATGTGCGGGTAAACCTTAAAAAACTTTTTATTGCAAAACATGATGCAGTTACATGAAGTAATCGTCAATCTGCTTAACGCTTCCTGTGGTTGGTGATACTTATCGTGTTCTCAAAAATGACGATTGGGCAAATGTTTCCGTACAGCCACCGTATATACATACTCTAAAAAACTGCAGACAACCCCTAGCAATTGCACGACTTCTCCGAGAGCAAAGGCACGGGTAACTCGTAGTCGCTGCCATTTTGGGTTTCAACAGCCACACTCCCAGCAATATCACTTTCAGTGTTTGCATAGCATGTCTGCCAGGTGATCAAGGCGCCTTCCACCTTGGCATAGGTAGGAAGACAAATTAGTGAACGCTTTGGTGAGTGTCTTGTTGCAGGCCTAGAGAATTGTCGTCCTTGTCGAGAGGCAGCTTATGTTTCTCGGCAAGCTTCGTTCTCGAAAATGCAAACTTGTCTGCTTTCTCGATGAGGCCCACTTTCTGGCGCGCCAAATGGGTTTTGTGCTTCAGCAGGTTCCCTCCGCACTACAATCGCACATGAGATTGACATCACTGACTCCCAGATCACAATGGAAAAAGCAGAAAAGCACACAAATAACTTTTATGCATGGATTCACATGCAAGCAGGCAACGGAATGACGAAAACTCGCCATGTTATTGCATTGGGTGCTGATTTGTGCCACTTAGCATGTAAAAAATGAGCCGGGCCGACGAAAGTCCAGAAACTAACTGGGTAGGTGCGCTCTGGTCATACATATTATTTGGTCATATTTACACTTGATACTATTGGGACCATAGAAATTCTACTAGTTATCCTGGATTTTCAATAAACTGAGGTTCTACTGTATTACTATAGTAATATACTAGTGTGTGGCATACGTGGTCTTTCTTTTCCACTTTAAAATAATTAGTTTTAACAAACGGTGATTACAGAAGGTTTTGTCATCTGATGAATAGCATTATGCTACGAGTACTGTAGAGCAATAAAAACCCATCTTTTGTTTGCATATTCCCTTTTTTACTGCTTATTTTGATATCAGCAATGGCGTACCGATTTTTTTAAACTTAAGTCATACAGGTCAAAATTACAGCAGCTCTACAGGGGAATAGAGAGAGCCCTCTTCTTGTATATTGAAACTGCCTGTCATGCTGCAGGTTCATCTCGGCCACGGCATAACTCTGGCGGAGGACACGATGACCCACGCTCTCACCCATGCGTCCACTCCTGGACGGTTCGTGAGAATGGTCAGTCGAGGCCTCTGGGAGCCTGCAGCGCTGTTTGACCGGAGCGTCACCGGACAAGCCTGCAGGCGCCTTCTCAAAAATGGGGCAGTGGGGAAGACACCCCTCACCCCAGAAAAGATTGATGCCGTCATTGGTGAGTGGATTATTCATTTAAGGGACCCTGCCACGGGTTTCCAACTAGGTTTGTATGTGCATAACCTACGCCCAAGCTAGTATTCGCGACTCCAGCGACCTATAGGGGGCGCCACCACCAAACAAACATGGTGGCTGAGTCCAGGTCGTGTCGGCTCGGCCGGGCCGCCTGAACAGGTGGCGCGTTCAATTTAACATATTTTGTTTTGTTTAATGCCCAATTTTATAGATATTTGAACTGAGACGGTTAAGTGTAGCCGGTGCACATAAACTTGCAAAGCATAGTGTTGTTTTCCCTTTTTTTTTTTTTTTTTCTTCTTTCCTTGTTAAACTTTTGTTTCAGAGATTTCGTTCAAAACCGAAACTATGGGCTCCGGAGAGACGGTATTATACTAATCAGTTTTGGTCGTCTAAGGAAAGCGGCGATTACTACAGTATTGTTCCACCAAGAGCAATTTTCAGCTAACTCGCATGCCTCGACCATGCGACTTATCTGTCGGCGAAATCAAGCTTTTGTGCGTATCCGCATTTAGGAAACAGCTCCAGTCGTCTGCCCGGTCAACAACACAGGCTGCAGGAAAGTTACGAAAATTAAGCAAGCGCTTCTCGAGCCAAGGAGCATGTTAACTAGGGATGTCGCGAACCACCCTAGGTTCGATTTCGAAAGGTTTCGATATTTGCGAAGCGAACTGAGGTTCGATTTCGAAAAATTTCGATATTTTCGTACCGACCGAGGTTCGATTTCGAAAAATTCGCAACTTTTGTCCACAGCGGAGTTTCGAATTCGAAAAGTTCGAAGCTTTCACGGTTTCTAAAATTTCGAATTCGAATATTTCGAATATTTTTTTACTTCAGGTTCGATAAATTCGAAGATTTCGAAATTCTTTGTAAAAAAAGTTCGAAAACTTCGAACGCTTCGAATTTTTATAGACATGAAGTTCGAACAATTCGAAGATTTCGAATTTCCTTTTGCATAAAGTTCGAAAAGGTCGAAGGTTTCGATTCTCTTTTAACGCTAAATAAAAAAAAAAAAATTCGAAGATTTTGAATTTCTTTCTAATCCAAGTTTTCAAAGTTCGAAGTCCGATTTTCAAGTTTTTCCACAGTTTCAGTTTCAAATAACGTTTTCACGACTCACTGGTTTTCACAAAATTAAGTTTAGAAAAGTTAGGGTGTGATATCTAGATTCTGCGAAGTTCGTCAGGCAATTAAATGAGACGACGAGTGTCCCGGACGTGCTAGAATATTTGCCAGTGCAGAATTGTGACCGCCAGCCCCGGGGGGGGGGGGGGGGGGGGGGGGGGTCTTTAACCTGCATCACGCAGTAGTGATTGCACGAACACACAGTTTTACGAGACTCTTCCAGTTCGAAACGGCCAGGGGCGAGCAGGAGGTTGAGGCTTAGAAAAACCTTGATGCGACCTGGCAAACTAGCTCGCCACCCCTTGCACGCTGGTAGTAATCCGATCCGGTGAAGTTTATAATTGTCCTGGAGGTTTATTTTCTGGGACGGAGGAATCGCCTCGCAAAAAGCACAAAAGCCGACACAACTCGAGGTCGAGGAGCGTTCTACCATACAAGTGGCGTCGGAAGAGGAAAAACGGGGGGAAGGAGGGTAGCGGGGGGGGGGGGGGGGGGGGGGGGGGGGGGCTTCAGCTTCCTTCTTCCCCTTGCATGTATTTCGGACTGTTAAAGAAAACAATACGGGGAAAGAGGGCGTGGTCGAGCTTATTTTAATCTGAAATTATTTATGCATATGTATAGCTAATGTCGCTCTTCACTGCATAAAAGGTTGTGTAGATGGTCATTGTTAGAAACTCGTTGTCAGAAGGCACTGCTCGTCACATGCTTAGTGGTTCGGAAGTTCAAAGCTGTCTTTTCGACCTAAACACCTGTGCCGATAGTAAAAAAAAAAAAAAAAAAAAAGAATGAGTGCGGGAATAAAAAGCAGGGAAAAAAAAACTATCAAGAATTCGTCGGAAGTGTTCTATTCTTGCATATTCAGAGGTTCAGAACTTCGAAACAAGTTTCTTTTACCAAAATGTGTACAGGCTAAAAGAAACACGTCCCAGGAACGTGAAGCGAAAAAAAAAAGGTTTTCTTTTAATGACGTGCTGAACTTGAACACTACTAGAAATCTTCTCCCATGAGTTAATTTATTCCTTAACGTGAAAAAACAATAAATATATTATTTTGTATTCTGCAGATGGCAATGATATGTACTGTCTGTGGTGTTAATTTAAATGCGATACCTCAAACAACTTAGACGAAAATAAATATCAAGTTTAGGTCATAATTGCATGCAGATACATGTTTGGACATTTCTTCGAAACTCACGTTGAATAACAATAATCACATCTTAAGACGGCACTTACCTAGGCTATACATAGATCATTCTTAAAAAAGTATAACTTATCTACCATGAATAGCTCCGACTGCAGCGTGCTTCAAATCTGGCACAAACGATAATCGTCAAAAACCCGTCGTCCTTCCTCGCCCCTTCGGGGATTTATTTCTTTAAACCTAAGCATGCCAGGACATTGAAATAAACGACATTGTCTTTCGTAAGGAACGCAGCACCGCGTGTAAAAGTTCGAGAAAAAAAAATTACGAATGTACCCCACTACTTGAAATCAAATGAAACCGTCCGCCGGTCTTTCGAAGTTCGACGAACGTCGAACTTTTACCCTAAAAGTTCGAAGTTCGTCGACCTTCTGACTTTTCAGAATTCGAAAGTTCGAAACTTTTCGAATTCTCTGATAAATAAGTTCGAAAGTTCGAAATTCATCGAATTTTTTGGTCAGTCAAGTTCGAAAGTTCGACAAGCATCGAACCTTGCAGCGCAATAAATTCGAAAGTTCGAAAAAGATCGAATTTTTTAGCGTAATAAGTTCGACGGTTCGAAAAGCATCGAACTTCTTAGCTTAACAAGTTCGAAAATTCGACCTCCGTCGAATTTTACGATATAGACAATTCGAAAAATCGAAATATTTCGAACCTTTCGAACCGCTTGATTCGATCATCGAAACTTCGATTCGAAAAAAGTTCGCGGCATCCCTAATGTTAACCCGCCGGCACCCCACTAAGCAGCTGATACTCGTATTTCATATTCAGGTTTTAGTAGCAATCGAGAAGTCATTTTGTCGAGCGGGTTATGTATTATATTACGTATTATGTCCCACTAAAGTGATCTTAGTATATTCTTCGGGTTGAAATATGGGCTTAGTTGACTAGCTGTTAGGTGAACTGCTGAATAAAAGTATATTTGACAGACAGAGAGATACTACTTAAACTTAGCCAAATGGTTCTAGCCGGCAGCACGGAGACAAACTGAAGAGAGTCTTCATTGGAGATTCACGCAGAACCTCTCTGCATTGAACTTTGCTTCGAATCCTGAACTATGAAAATGAGCATTTTTTGTGGCCGGTCAACCTGATCAATGTAGACGTATATTGCTGCTGGCTTTGATGGGGGTATAATTTCAATATTGGAGGCGTGATAGATCAAAATGCCGTGACAGCTTCTAACGTTGCGAGACGCGTCCCCCACCTTTTGAAAACAGATAATTTCCCTCATTCATCATTTGCAGCGAGCAGGTTTTCCTGAATCAAGTGCGAAAGTCAGCCCAACTCCTTCAGAGTGGTACAGAGGCTTTTTTGGCGAAAAGCAGCCAAGATGAATAGCCAACACACCGACCGGCGTGGGTGGCTCCAACTTGAAGCTAATCGAACAAAACCAAACTCCAGAAAAGCAGCTATCGAACCTTCCCATTCACTTGACTGCCACATTGGTGTTCCCTCCAGTGAAATGCCTCGTCTGTCGTTTTCAGTTCACTGTTCTACATCCTTATAAAGAAACCACATCAGTTACCAAGTAGTCGTCACTTTGAATGTGATTAGAGACAGACAAGAAATCAAAACGTTTTTTCCGTGATTCCTCCCCAACCAAGAAATCGAAAGCACACGACCGTGTGTTGTGGAGTAAACGGACTTTCAACCACGTGATGGAAGGAAACAATCTACTGAGGCTTCACCACGCTAATGAACACTCAGGCAAACTCAAGAAATTTTCGGACCTTCGTCAAATTACATCGTTCGCTACAGTGCCGACAACACGCGTCTGAGAAAGCCACCAGAGACGCGGAGGGGCACGGAGCGACCTGGTCCGACTGGTCCCCGGTTTTCCTGCTTGGTGGCGTCCATTTTGCTGGAGTCGCGAATATGAGACTTCAGTAACACAGTAAAATATATTTTTTAACCAATTTGTGTTACTCAGAATAGAATATGTGAAATGAACTCATGATTGCAGCTACCTTTTCTCTTTGGTGATGGCACAGTTGTTGATGGTGCAGCCAGAACCAGCAGCGTTCGTAATTGTTGGAACATCTCTTTATGAAGATGTGAATGGCATGTGGATTAGCGGGTGCTTCAGGTGAAGGTGGGAGCAAAAACCACTTGGCAAAAGGCATGCACATTAATGTCACGTGCACTTTTCCAGCCAGTCTGGTTGCCAATGCCGTTGACAGGATGTCACCAAGCTTACGCTTTTGCCACCGATTGGCGCTCCATTTAAAACACACTTTAATTTTCTTATTGTCTGAACTCCAGACAATAAAAACTAAACACGCTGCAATTCTCTGGTTTTGCAGCTGCGTTTGGCTGCTATGCAGAAAAGCAGGCCAAAATCAAGAAAGACAAGGAGGACGGCAAGAAAGACAAGGAGGACGGCAAGAAAGACAAGGAGGACGGCAGCAACAAGCCAGGTCCCAAGAAAGGCAAAGAGCCGTCCGTCAGGGACGTGGTGAAAAAGCTCTTAGGTGACTATTTGGTCGATAAGAACAGGGAAGAGGAGAGGGCGAAGAAGAACACAAAGAACGCCCACGAATCTCCGTTAGCAGTTCCCCCACCCTAAACGCCAGTCGCTTCCGCTTTTCGTCCTTTTTTTTTTTTTTTTTTTTGCTGCAATATTTTTTTTTTAAATTTTTATTGTGTTTTGGCATTATACTTATAAGAACCTTGTGCAATATGTATTTTTATTTACAAAGCTATATTTTTTTATGATTTATTAATTATTTTGCAGTCTTGAATGTGTTAATGGTACTGACGGGATAAGTTGTTTCGGTGGTTTTAAATCGAAAACATGCTTTTACGACAAAAACTTGGGCAGCTTCGCAATGCCTCCGCCAGGTGCCGTCAGCCGTGGTGCTGTATTTTGGCTTTTTATCAAAGCTAGACACTGATCTCTGGGGCTAAATATATTTAAAAAAATAGTTTATCATGTTTTTACTGCAATCGCAATAAAAATCTCGGCTTAGTTTTGCGTAAAAACCTCAGTATTTCGTACGGTCATGTGTCCAGTGGTCAAACAACATGGCGGCAGCCAAGAGGGGGTCAGTTTTGCTTGGTGAACGGAATACCACTTTATCGCTTTAAACCCCTCTGTATACCTAGTTGGCTCTCTTGTATATATTTGTGGTTTTGCCTTATTTTCTTGATTTTTTTTGTAGAGGATTTTGTGTGTGCGTGGTGCGCGGGTCCTTTTGAAAACTAGCACCTCCTCGGCAAATGCGCCTTTTCCTAGGTATTGTGCAATAAAGAATTTTCGCAGTGCATTTTAAAAAGATGATATATTACAAATTTACTAGATGAGTATTTCAATGTATATTTACAGGTCCTTAGAAGTTCTTTAAAACCCTTGAATTTTTTTCTTTAAAGCCTGTACGAACCCTGGTGTGAAATGTTTGAGTTTTGAGCCTTAAACATATTTTTTTTAAATGTTTTACGAAATTTTAAATGTATCATTCCTCAGATTTTATGCGATTGTGTGTTTTCAGACTATATAAATGAATCTTCTCGTTTTTTTTCACAATTCCCTGTGTGGTGTCGTACCTCATTATTCGCAGTGATATTGGTGACTAACCAACACTGACTATGTTCTGTTTTACCTCTGATGTAGTGCAGCAGATGCTATAGCCATTCCTACCAACCAAGCGCAGTGAATATGTTGCATGGCTCAACGCATTCCGTGCCGCTGGGTGTTGCCAGAGAGTCGGATGACACGCTCTCAAGCACTGGACTGACTCGAAAGGCTCTTAGCATCAGCCTCAGTACACCAGAAGGTGAAACTGAGCATTAGCTCTTTATTAATCTAATTCCTTTTTTGTCCGGAGTGGCCCGGTACGGCCTAATCTCCGGTGTGATTCATTCCGGTTAAATTCTCCGTATTGGCCACATCCGATTTGACCAAGTACGGTTAGGCCTCCGGATTGGTTGTCTCCGGTTAAGTTTCCGAATTGGTCGTCTCCGATTTAGTTCCCGGTTCCATATGACGGTCTGAAACTCCGGATTCATTCCGATTTAATTTCAAACCGTTATTTTTGGTAGGGTAGTTACTAGTAACGTGTTATTGGTAACTAGTTACTTTTTAGGTAACTTTTACCTGTACCGCGTTCCTCTTTAATAGTGGTAACTTGTAGCTGTAACACTGTTACTTGGGTAACTGTAGCTATTTAGGACGTTACAGTCACTTTTTTACTACAGTATATAAATTAGAAATCATTGACGCATACAGGGTGAAATTGCTATCTTGAATTATTTTCCTCAAAACTCAATGCTGACAAAAGATACAAAAGAATACAAAAAGCAAGAAGTGTGGTCACAGACTAAACAAACAAAAAATTGCCTGGTTTGGCAAAAATGGACGACGGACGAGTTAGCACGAAACCGAAAGATAAAGGAAGCGGCGCCTGCGGTGGTAGGGGTGGGAAACAATGTCTGTCTCACAAACTTTGGCTCACTCTTTTCTTGTGGGGACCACCTGCAGCTGTCGGTGGTCATGCAATATGTTTGCGAGTATTCCATCTGGGTTGTGTCTGCACCCCCCTTCCCCACCGCATCCTCTCCCTTCCCGTTTGTCAGATATGTCCGTGCTATCCTTTTTACACCCAGCCGGTCGCCGTTTCCTCTTGCCTATTAGTTTCAAGGAAGCCGTCCCCATATTGCGGAGAAAGCCGGTGCTTGTTTAACTTATTCATTCTCTTCGGAGCCGCTCAAGTAAAAACGAAGGCAGATTCAAGTTTAATTGCCTTCTTTGTTGATAGCCTCAAGAAACACCCCGATGGAAGGACACTGTTGTGGAACGTACGCAGTGCTCCAGGTGAAGCGATTTGCCGGAAAACACCTGTCTTAAGTGAGAGGACCAGCTGTTTTTCATGCGTGTATGCGGACTGGTCTTCCACAGTTGGTGTTTCAAACACTGATGCCGCGGTGGTCGTACATTAGTAGAGTTACAGAAGGCCTCACTTTGTCTCCTTTCCCCTATAGTCTTTCAAAGCTACTTGACCTGCTATGTTTAGGCCTGTTTCTGAGTACAGTCAAACCTTGATATAACGAACTTCAATGTAACAAAATCCTCGATTTAACGAAGTATTTTATTTTTCATAATTTCTTGCCCATAGACCCCATGTATTTTTATTCTCTATATAACAAAGTCTATTTTGCTGTTATTTCAATATAACGAAGCGCCATTGCCATAGAAGGCAATAAATAAATAGACTCTAAAAAACAACTTCGCAAAAAAATTGTAGTTAAAAAAAATTATTCGCAAACGCGAGCGCTTGATAGGTTACTTCACGGGGACAGGCCTTCCAACGTTCCTAGGCTGCCCGAGGATGCTGCGCCGGTAGCGCCGGCGAGGCATGCGGCAAAGCGGATTCCGCGGGGCTGGCCAGAAAATGCCGAGCAAAAAGGTAACACGGCATAACAGCATCACCACTGACATTCACTGATCATCATAGTCCACTGTACCGCGGGTAGCGCGGGAGCCAACTTCAGCGGGGGAGCGACGTGATGGCGCGATAGGGAGGCTGTATGGCGCGACCGCACGGGCAGTGCCATCTAGGAGAAGACCGAGAAGACCGATTATCGCTGGATTATCGTCTTGCGAGTGTGATGTAAAGCAAAGGCGCAAGCACACTGTGGACGCAAGGGGGCAAGTGAACTGAGTAAACTGTGCGGGCAATAAGGCCCCGGGCAAGAGTGCTGTGTAGGTTGGAAACATTGGCACCGCCTAAACTAAACAGCTTTATTTTTCAACTCGGCGGTTCACTTACGTGCTTGCTGCCATAGGGAAACGTAAAGTTATTTCTTTGGATGAGAAAGCAAATGTTTTGGACGCCATCCTGAAGAAACTGCCGAGATCTCGAGCACTCGGGAAGTGCTCGACGCAATGGACGTACTGAGGAGGTACACGGCGTCGCATGGGCAGCAAGATGCCGTGCAAGCGCTCTGGCCGCTCGAACGCTGTATGACGCCGCTACTACTGTTGGACAAGGCGCAAGCAAAACTCGCGGACTACTTTGCCCCTAAATAAATGTCATTTTCGGTGAGTTTTCATACCCGTAAAATGTTTCGGAATTTGTTTTTTGCATGCTAAAGCAAAATTTCGATTTAGCGAAATTTCAATGTAACGAAGTAAATTGCGATTTTTACCGACTTTGTTACATCGAGGTTTAACTGTATATCCCATAAGAAAATTAGGTGACCATCAGTGTCCTCATTCGTTTCGGAGTGAAAAATAAACGAAAATATTCACTGACGCGGGCCAATGACAATTTTGAAAAACAGTTGATTCTAAGTTATTAGCCCCGAGAACATGGCATGGCGCCACATGACGGGCCTATCGTCGTGACGTAGGATGGGGGATCACGTGACCGTTTCCTGCACTCTGTGTCAAGGATGGAGTGTCTCGGTCTTCACTCTTTTTAATGCTACGGGAGTTTAAGGCATGTTTTAACCCAATGTTTCGTTTCACTACTCAACTTAGTCAAGTTCCTAAATTGACTACCATATGAATGCTTTCGGGGAGCCGGTGAGCCGGTTGCAGAGGAACAGTCGCTGCACAGAAGCGCGGCGGCGCAGTCTAAATGAGAGTATGGGTCAACTTGTCGTTTTCGATGGCTGTCTCGCGCACTGCAATGGATACTTACGAAGTGCGACCTACCGTCAGAGGTAGGCGATTTTTTTTTAATTATGATTGATCGGGCACATTGTTACAACTGTGTACCACTTTTTAGTTGTGCTGTACATGTCAGCAGCATCAGTGCGTTCAAGGACAAGGCCCACGAAACATCCCGGCTGTTGCTTGAGGGCAAACGTGTTCTTGAAGCGGGACACGTGTTCTCCTATAGTATCAAGAAGCTGGATAAGGATTGCTACACGTTTATTGGATTCATTCTCCAAATGTGGACACTCACTTGGTACCCGCACGAGCTGGAGATAACACAGAATGGAAGAAACGTCAGTGACACATCGTGCTCCCGCAATGCACGGGTGAAGGAACATGCCGTGTATCGTTACTTGGTTAGGTTGAATGTACCCACAAGCTGGCGTGCTGTGAAATCGATCAAAGAACTCGCGGCCAGAGCCGGGAGGGAAACAACTGGAGATTGTGATTCGCAATGAACGGTGAAGCGCGGCGCCTTTTTCCAAATACAATCGGTAGTCTCCCGTTGTTCTCGTGGCTCAGGAATAAAGAACAAAAAATTATCCTGGCTCAGTGGTGACGTCCTCGCTTCCCAAGTCGCGAGTCGCAAAGTTGATACGGTGCTTCCGATTTCTTTTTGTTATTCGTTTTTGAAGCACCGGTTTTTGTAACTTTTCTGCGATGTCGGAATTTTCGAGCGACAAATATTAGAGCTTGTTGATAACATTTAATTTCATATCCTCTGTTGCCTTCTGTAAATTACTCTTTAAGTCTCTTAGCACCCGGCTCTACTTGCATTGCGTGCCGCTAACTTGCACATACACTTTACACCCCATTGTTCAAATGATATTGAAGCTGTATGAGAAAGGTACTGCTATGCAGGGTGAGACTTCACATTTAATGTATCATATTGGAATGCTTCTCCTTGGGG